GGGGAGGAAACAGATGCCTGCACTGGCCAAGACCAGAAGTCAGGGGGCACAGCTCCCTGCCTGTCAGATGTTGCTGAGGGCAGCTGAGCTAGGGCCATCCTTGATTGGCTGTGGGACACATGCCCCCAATCCCCTGCTGTCACTGCAGACCATCCCCACACTGAGCCCTAGGCTTCCAGAGTGGGTCCTGCCAGGTCTGACAGCTGGGCCAGCATTGGCATGGGGGAAGCCAGAGCTGGCAGGGAGCAGGAACTGAGGCTTCAGCTCTGTCAGACCACAGCCCCTCTGCTCAGCCTTGGCTCTGGCTGGAGCAGGCAGAGGTGGGCACAAGAGGAACCAACACGGACACTTCCTTCAGGACCTGCACAGCCGTGGCTCAGCCAACAGGCAGCCCAGAGCTGGGAAGGGTAGTCAACAGGGACCCTGAGGGAAGCTGCTGTGTTGGCTCTCTCCATGTCCCCTCCCTCCCCTCCCAGCTCTGGGCTGTGCGCTGCCTGAGCTGGGGTTGCGCAGATCAGAAATAGTATGAATTATTTACATAAAATCCTGCGGTACAAATCCTGAGGTCTAGTTCTTACTCAGTTCTAATTCTGTCATGCTCCTCTTAGGATTCATAGTGACTGTAAGAAGCACAAGACACAGCCCAAGAAAGCCCTTCAAGATTCGTCCTAGTATAACCATTTAAATGTGATGACATGTCTATTGGCTGACTTAATCCTGTACAGCACAAGTAGAAGTACATCGTAAAAAAGAGAGATAATGAGAGAAAAGTTTGATTTTGAGTGACATCATTGTAATAAACTAAGAACTACTTCCCTTGGTCCTCCCCATTGTTCTGCTTTAAATTCTTCCTCCTACAGAAGTCAAAGCGAGTTTTCTTTGAGTTAGGACTGAACAAATAATAAGGTTAAGATGTTTGGTCCTTTGTAATATTTTCTCTCATTCTTTTTACATATCCTAAAGAAAGAAAGTTAACAGAGCCTGGCATAACGCTTTTTCCCATTCAAGATTAGGAATAGTACCAAGTATTTTTTCTCTCTCCTGGATGTTCTGTGCATTGGGATTTATACCAACAGTAATATAATATTATATGTCACATGTTAAAAGATAACTAGAGGAAGTAAAACAAAATAGATGCATTTAAATAGGATAGCTAATCAATATCCAATAACATTGCTTAATGGACTATATTCAATTCCAACATCTGCCATGTGAATTCTCTGCCAATGGTAGAAATACATCAAGTATTTTGTGTAAGAGCAGAAGCTACTGCACAAAAATGGATTTTTTTTTCCATAGTAACCATTTACTTTATGTATTTTTAGTTTATAAGTATTTGTGAAGGTATGACTAATTTAGAAACATCATTATAATAATAGCTATGACTTATGTTGTATGATTAAGCCTGACCTAGAATGATCTTAATGCTGAAGAGACAAGCAAAGGTGGCTCTAGGCCAAATATATTCTATTACTGTGGCAGAACAGAGTGTCATCCAACCTGACTCATGTAGAAGGGACCTACAAAAAATACTGCCTTGTGGTGATGGATCCAAATCAAAACCTCAGATCTGTGCTCGACAGGGTCCCAAACATTTCACAGAATCATAGAATCAATAAGTTGGAAGGGACCTAGACAGATCATCAAGTCCGACCCCCCGCCATGGGCAGGAAGGAGCACTGGGGGTGGCAGGGGTCATAAGACCCCAGCCAGGTGCCTATCCAGTCTCCTCTTGAAGATTTCCAGGGAAGGTGAGCGCACCACCTCTCTGGGAAGCCTATTCCAGGCTCTGGCCACCCTTACAGTGAAGTAGTTCTTCCTAATATCTAACCTAAACCTATCCTCCCTCAGCTTGTGGCCATTGTTCCTAGTGACTCCAAGTGGGGCC